GGGCGTTGCAAAGCCCGAAGGGCATCACCAGATACTCGTAGTGGCCGAATCTGGAACGGAAAGCCGTCTTCCACTCGTCGCCCTCACGGATCCTGACGAGGTTGTAGGCCCCCCGGAGGTCGATCTTCGTGAACACCCTGGTGTCCTTCACTTGGTCCAGGAGATCAGGGATAAGAGAGAGAGGGTATTTATTCTTTCTGGTGATGTCGTTAAGGGCCCGGTAGTCCACACAGGGCCGAAGACCCCCGTCTTTCTTCCCCACAAAAAATATACCTGCACCGACTGGGGAGGTGGACAGGCGGATGAAGCCCTTCGCCAGACTCTCCTCTATGTATTCCCTCAGCGCCCGGGTCTCGGGCTCAGATAAGTTGTATAGCCGCCCGTACGGCAACGGGGCCCCAGGAAGCAGATCAATGGGGCAGTCGTAGGGTCTGTGGGGAGGTAAGGCGTCAGCCCCTGCTTTTTCGAAGACATCCGCGTATACCCCGTATTTGGCGGGCAATACCTGAGGAGAGGAGGCCAGGGCCAACAGAGAGCCAGGAGCAGAGGAGGACGCAGTGGGAGACACAGTAGGAGGACTGAAATGTGACACGTCCCATGGCCCAGTCTATTTGGGGATTGTGCTTCCGAAGCCATGGGATGCCCAGGATAACTGGAAACAGGGGAGAGGGTACGATGTCCCATACGACCTCCTCACAGTGGTGGCGACCAATGGAAAGGGCAATAGGGTGTGATTCCATGGAGACAGGTCCGGTCTTCAATGTACTGCCATCCACCATGTGGAGTCGGGACGGGTGTTCCTTGGGGCGCAAAGGTAGCCCCAGCTGATTGGCAAGCTCGAGATCGAAAAAACAGCTGCTTGCGCCCGAATCGATCAGGGCCGCAAGTTCAAGGCCAGTACCGTTCAGCTGTAGGGAAACACATATGGTTAGATGGGAAGAACCGTTGTATACAGGCATGTTCAGGAACACAGCTGAACTGACAGTCCTACCTGTAGGTGGTTTGATGGGGCAGTCTTTCAACATATGACCGGGTTTGGCACAGTATAAGCAGAGATTGAGAGTCCGCCTTCTGGACCTCTCGACCGCGGAGAGCGGACCCCTGACTACTCCGATCTGCATCGGTTCTTCAGGGGCGAGGTCCCCGACTGTGGAGGATGGCACGAGGATTGGCAGCGGAAGAGGGTCGGATCGCTGTGCAGGAGGGGGCAGAGCGTGTTGCCTCTCCGTCCTCCTTTCCCGGAAACGGAGTTCCAGTTGGGTAACTGTGCTCATCAGCCCCTCCAAAACCTCCGGAACCCCGATACGGGCGAGCTCGTCTTTTAACTGGTCTGATAGACCGATCCGGAACTGGTCGATAAGGGCCACTTCATTGAGTCCGGTATCTGGGGCGACCTCCCGGAATTCTGTAATGTAGTCCTCCATTGGACGCCTTCCTTGCCGAAGAGAAAGGAGAGTGCCCCTAGAGGTGGAGGCACGCAGGGGGTCATCAAAGAGCGCCTGCATGGCGGAGACAAAGGAGCTCCAAGAGGACAGTACTGGACTATCTGTTTGCAGGAGCTGATGGGCCCAGGTCTGTGGGGGTCCCGTGAGCAGGGAGATAGCCGTCCGTACCTTGACATAGTCTGACGAGTAGGTGTGGGGTTTTAAGGAGAACAGTAGTTCGCAGGAGATGAGAAACGACCGCCATTTCCTCCTGTCTCCAGAAAATCGTTCCGGTAGGGCCACTGCTGGCTCACTGTTCACCACCTCCAGTTGTGAAGGCAAGTGGTGAAGGCTGAAGTCCTCCCCCAGACTGAGTAGCACCTGTGGCACGGAATGGCGCGCGCGCGCACTATGCTCGCTCGTCCGCGCATGCGGCTTGCGTACCGCACACCCGGCGCGCGAGCTGCGCACGCGCACTGGCCACACCAGCGTCAGATGCCCTGCCAGGGGGAGGAGGAGGAGCTACCCGTGCCCGATGCCCGCGCCTGCAAACCTGACAAGGAACGGCCCCCCTGGGTCCCTGACAACTTGACAATTTGTATTCAGATTTAAGGACATATACGTTTTTTTTATTTAGTATGTTTTTTTTTAATAAATACAGTAATCTGTTGTTTTTATTATAGGCTGACAAATGTGCAAACATTTAAAAAGAAAATATATTTGTTCATTTGTGATTGTTTTTAAATTTGTTCTAATATAACTGTATCTGCCAATTACAGATTTAAACAGATGGCAATGCATATGCCACTGCAGCCTGAAGGAGGGAGTGTTAAACTGCAGGTTAAAGACTCTTTTTTTGCCTCTAGCCTGCATGTGATCACTATCTTTTAGTGACAGCAGGAATATAGAGCTGCCACTAGTGCCACAAAGTGTGGGGGCTTTCAAAGAGGGGGACGTGTCTAAACAAATTGTGTTTGGGAAGGGGTTAATGGATTGAGGTGGTGCAACTGCTCATGGACCAATGAGGTCATGGAGTCCATTCATAACTGCTACTTTATATACTTACCAGCTATGTACTGACATAATATTGTACACAGTATAGAGCAGCATCTCCCTTTACTACACATCTTCCTCTGCTTTATGCAATCTGCTGTTTAGGCTCTTATAGGCTGAAGAGCTTACAATGCATGGGCTGAAGTTTTAGAGCATTTGAAATTCAAGACATATTTGTTAAACATGAAAAAATGTTGTAGCTTTCGAAGTACAAAAATTATCACTAATGACAAATGAAATGTAAAATACAATGCAGAATGATTTCCATCCTGTTCAAAAGTCACTCTGTGCAAAAATTAATTTTGGATAATTTTTATTGGTATAAACAAACTGGACGGTTATAGTCTGAATTATATCAACTACTGTTTAAATTGCATGATCAGAGGTAACAATGGATCTAGCCAAAATTCTTAAGGTTACATGAACAGTTCCTTTTGTTTACTTATGTTTTGATCATTTCAGTTAATAATGTTTTTTGAATATTCATCAAATCGTCCAAAAAATTGCCCTCTGTAAGGTTATACTTGGGAAAAAAATAGATTTTGAGGCAATGCTATGACTTTTTACCATCGTTTGTGCAAGTGTCAAAAGGCTTTTGTTGTCTCAGAACTGCTTCTCTTCCCATGCATGTCAATGGGAATGCAAATGCAGGTTGATGTAGCTTAGATAGAGGTTAACTTTAGGTCAACTGAACCTGTTAAAAGATGGAGGCAGAGCCAGCTGTGCTTGCCCCTTCCCCTGTTTGTCCCTCAAGTCAGCGCTGGAGAGGGGAGAATCCCTGCCGGGAGGCGTGATATACAATTACTGCTCTCTGCATGAAGAAGACTGTGAGCTAAGCAATCAGTGGTTTGTGATCGCTCAGTTCTTGATCTATAGAGCCAATGTGTGACAGCTGCAGTGTCACATTTCAGCTCTAACTACTAGGATGATTGTATTTCACTCTCCCCATAGTTCTCCTTTAATAAAGTCTAAATGACCTTAGAAGTATCTCAAAAGATGCCAAATGTAAGTTAAAGGAGAACTATGAGGTGAGTGATTTTAATGCATCCTCAAAGTTAGAGCCGACGTGTGACAATGAAATTGTCACGCATTGGCTCTATTGATCAGGAAGTGAGCGAACACATACTGTCACTCACTTCCCGATCATTTCCCTGCAGAGAACAAAGATTGTTAGTCACTGCTCCCCACAGGGATTCCCCTCTCCGATCATCCAGTGCTGGAGGAACGGACGGCGGAGGGGGCGGGCACATCTGGCTCTGCCTCTAAACAGGCAGAGCCCGCTGTCAATCAGCTAGCTGGGTGGATTTCAACGCTATTGTCGGGATCCGTCCCGACTGCGGCGCTCTCAGTATAAAGCTGTAGCTGTAGCTCGCTATATACTGAGGTTTGGGTCACAGGAGTAGGTTAGTATATGTCCTCACGTGACCCTTAAGAGAACTATGGATAAAAAGTTTACCTCTTTTAAATGTATCTAAAAGCAAGCTGAATTTTTTTATCAACACAAGCCCATCTCTGTTCACTATAGGAAATAAGCTAATATTTTCCATCTCTGCAAATTCTCTTTAACGAGTGCTAGATAGATAACGTTAAAAACATTGCTCCTTACAATCCTTTGCTAAAGTACTGCATGAAGACCAGCTTCAAGCCCTTTGCACCCCAGTTTTTCCCCCACCTCCTATAGAACCGCACCCGTAAAAAAAAAAAAACCATATATTAATATTCTATGTATCTTCGGTCCAATCCAGTGAAATCAAAGGTCCTCTTTACCCTATTCTTACTCCGCCAGTGGGCAGATTATAAATACTGTTAAGAGCGGCACCGCTTAATGGTGCAGGGCAGAAGACAGAGCTTTGGCACGCTGGGCTCACAGAAAGTGGATTGAATAATACTGGGCATCATTCAACCCATAAAATAAATGGCACTGTATTACTGGATCTGTGGGGGACAGTGCATTGCATCTTCAAGTTTTATTACGAGTACCCCAGGAGCCCTAAAATCTAGGATGCTTTATTATGCAAAAAAAACAAAAACAACTTCAGCCAGGAAGTTAACACCTGCGTACACCCCAGAAACACACTATTGGTCAATAAATGTGATCGATGACCTTACTGATCCATAGGCAAGTAGTGGGTAAGGGCCAGCCAAAGATCAACTAGTTGAAATCAGCATTTCCATATTAGAGATTGTAGTTAGCATAACCTCAAGGAGGTTGCTGCTATGAAATTTAGCTGCTAATTTATCAAATCTGGCCCTCAAGCAAACCTAAAATTGCCTACACACAATTCAATCTATTCTCAGAAAAGTCGATGCATGCATTGTTTTCAATCTGCCTTTAGTTCAAACTAAAAAATATGCAATCTGGCAGGTCAGACATTTTTTTTTCCTTTCAAAACAAAATGCCAAAAGGCGAATAAAAAAAGGAATGCATTTATAATACAGTATGTTGTTAAGTTCTTTTCACAGACAATAATAAGTGTTGATCTTATACATGTTTCTGTGCTCCTACCTGGTAGAGTGGAACACATGCACGGTTAGTGAGCCATAAAGTCTGGAGTGCCGCTATCTGAAGCCGCATTTGAAAGTTGTTTTAGTTCCGATTAACTGTGCACATACACATTGCTATAGCAGCAAGAGCTGTGGCACAGATCTGTAATTTCATTCTGAAGTAATTGCCATGCAACGGGTTAAATAAACAATAAAAGAGGTGAAAGGCATAGAGAATCTTAGCAAATTGACTAATTTAATTATCTGCCTGACATACAAACCGTCTTGTACTGCAAACAAGGATCTATTCTTTTCCTCCCTCTCAGGAGCAGACTTTTCTTTAAAGTCAGTAGTTGATAGGGACACCTGAAGAGTTCATGGGTTTCAGTGACCTTTTACTATGGAC